ATTGACTGACGTCTCATGTCTCCCTAAAACCAAGCTGTGCCCTGACCACCTTGGGCACTTGTCGTCAGGATCTCCTGAGGCTGTCACGGGTGCACTTCCTCAACCTCGGCCAAATGAACCTTCTAAATCACCTGAAACCATCTCAGATAGTCAGGGTTCACGGCTCCCTTTCCCGAACCCTCCCAGGAGCCCCTCATGGGCGCCCAAGTCCTGCATGTTGTTGTGGCCCAGGCTCACCTGGAGCAACTCGACTCTTCCTTACAGCCTCATGAACCTTTCAGTTCCTAAAGCTGCTTAGCCTGTGAAAGGAAAATGAATCTGAGGGCCCAAAAATCACTAATCTAAAGGGGAAAAAGCTGGGAACTGCTTAGGGCAAACCTGCCTCCCCTCCCCTTCTATTCAAAGTCACCCCTCTGCTCACTGAGATAAGTGCATATCTGATGGCCTCCTTTGGGGAGGCTATTCAGAAACCCAAAAGAATACAAGTTTGTCTCTCACCTACCTGTGACCTGGAATCCCCCTCCCTGCTTCGAGTTGTCCCGCCTTTCCCGACGGAACCAACGTTCATCTTACATATATTGATGTCTCCTGTCTCCCTAAAATGTATAAAACCAAGCTGTGTCCCGACCACCTTGGGCACATGTCTTCAAGACCTCCTGAGGCTGTGTCATGGGCGTGCGTCCTCAACCTTCGCAAAATAAACTTTCTAAATTGACTGAGACCATCTCAGATATTCGGGGTTCACAAGTCCATGTATGTGGACGTCCCCGGGGTAGTACCCTCCTCCACTGAGCTCACTTGGGTCCTCCTTGTGCGTTTTCTTCAGAAGAAATTTCACAGCTACTTGGTCCAGCCCTGTCGACCATACAGGAACCGCAGTTCACCACAGGAACATGGGCGGTGTACCTGCTGGGGAGTGTGGAGAGGACCAGGCTCCTCTCCTAATTCCCGATCAGTTAATAACAAAGGTCGACAGGTCAAGAAATTTCCAAACCCTAACCTAACCCTAAGCCCAACCATAACCCCAAACCTAACACTAACCCAACCCTAGCCCCAACCACAACCCTAAATCCAACCCCAAACCCAACCCCAACCCCAATCCTAACCCTAAGCCCTAACCCTAACCCCTAACCCCTAACCCTAAACCTAACCCTAACCCCTAACCCTAACCCTACCCTAACCCTAACCCTACCCCTACCCCTAACCTGAACATGAACCCGAACTCTAACCCATACCCTAACCCGAACCCAAACCTGCACCCGAACCTGTACCCGAACCCTAAACCCTGACCCTGACACTGACCCTAACTCTAACCCGAACCCTAAACCCTGACCCTGACCCTGACCATGACCCTGACCCTGACCCACACCCGAACCCGAACCCTGACCCTGACCCTGAACCCTGACCCTGACCCTAACCCTGTTAGGGTCAACTGTAATGTCTCCTTTTTCATCTACGATTTTTTTCTTATCCTTAGTCTAGTTAAAGCTTGTCAGTTTTGAGTTTTCTAAAATACCCCAGCTCTTTGTTCTTTGACTTCTTGTAGTTTTTGTTTCTATTTTTACAATTTCTCCTTTAATCTGTAAGATATTTTTTTTTTTTTTTGAGACGGAGTCTCGCTCTGCCTCCCGGGCTGGAGTGCAGTGGCCAGATCTCAGCTCACTGCAAGCTCCGCCTCCCGGGTTCCCGCCATCCTCCTGCCTCAGCCTCCCGAGTAGCTGGGACCACAGGCACCCGCCACCTCGCCCAGCTAGTTTTTTGTATTTTTAGTAGAGACGGAGTTTCACCATGTTAGCCAGGATGGTCTCGATCTCCTGAACTCGTGATCCATCCGCCTAGGCCTCCCAAAGTGCTGGGATTACAGGTGTGAGCCACCACGCCCAGCCGAGAAAGGTGACTTTTAATGGACCACAAATAAGATCGAAAAACCATCAAAAATTGAATCCCAAGGCAATTTCTCATCAAATTTTATTTTCC